ACTGAGGATGAACGGACGTAGACAGAAATATGCAAAAGAGAAATATATAGCAGTAGCAACCGAGGAAGAGTCCCCAGCTAATTCCCTCCATTTGAATCCTTTAAAAAAAGTATCACATTCTAATTTCATTTTTTGGGACCAATTATGGATTCACATAGAAGTTCCTAGTGAAAAAAGAGCAGTCAGGACAGGCTGGTTTTGGGATCAGTCATCCAGGCTTTGTTTTGCAAAAACTAGTCAAGAAGAAAATAATATTGCATCCCATTCCCAAACATTTTGGATGTTTCAAACTGCCAAATTCCCAAGTGTTGCATGCTCCCTGGCTATACTAGTTGGGGGATCCTGGGAGCTGTAATCCAGCGTTGGATTCATGCAATATGTTTTGGTTCCAAACACAATGCCTACTATTTCACATACACATTGATACTCCTGCCACCTCTAAACAAACAGACACACCCACCCTAAAAAGCCCCCTCCCATAGATGCTCAGACCTACACACATATCTCTGCCATGTACTCAGAGCCAAACCTTTTGCCTTCACAAGTCCCGAAGTGCAAACGCACACCTACGTAGACATCTACACCCTAAACTTACCCACCTACACAAGTGCTGTCCTCACATTCTTAGCTATCGTGCAACGTGGGGTTGTCTTACACATCTCTGTGTTGTACACAGAGATGCAAGACAGCCCAAATCTGCCCACTCCCAGCTCTTAACCCAGGTTATTCACTTTTATTATTGTTGCAGCCAGGGTAGGCAACCTTGTAGCCTTCCATATGTTGTTGGGTCACTCTTCCCACCAGCTTCATGTCCAGCATAGCCCATTAGGAAGGATGCTGGGAGATCAAAAGATGACCAAACCCTAGAAACGCAGTCCTCCAAATGAAGTAACTTTCTATGACTTCCTTGTGATCCTGAGCATCATGTTTGCTATGATGGTAAATGAACATAGCCTAAGATAAATGAACTGCTGAATATATATATAGATAGATAGATAGAGAGAGAGAGAGAGAGAGAGAGAAGTAATGATGTCACATTGAAGAGGAGGCAAACTTGTTTTCTGCTGCTCTGGAGTCTAGGACATGGATCAATGGATTCAAACTGCAGGAAAAGACACTCCACCTCACCATGAGGATGAACGTCCTGATGCTAAATGCAATATGCTTCCTTGGAGTCCAGTTTTTAAACGTTGCATGACCATCTGTTGGGAGTGGTTGAATTGTGTTTTTCTGCATTTCAGGGGGTTGTACAGAATGACACTTGGGGTCTTCTCCAACTCTGATTCTATGAGAGAGACAGAATGAGTGAGTGGATGAGAGAGAGAGAGAGGGAGAGAGATTGTAAAATTTGGTGGGGATCATAACTCCCAAAATTTTAGGATCATAACTCCCAAAATTTTAGGATCATAACTCCCAAAATCCACCAGCTATCAGAGCCAAGGTGGCTAGTGTAGTCCCCTAAGTAACCTTTTCAGCCTCTGCATGTGGCAGAACATACAAGCACACATACATATGTATTTGATAAACCTTGATGCTCACTCCCAAACATCTTTTCACATTCTGTCCATATAAAATAAACAAACACACGCACACATATACCATATATCTGAAAAACTTTTATCCCCACCCACAAGCCTTCTAGTCACATCCTAAGCATTTAACCAGCGTATGACAAAGCTGCCGCATTATTTGCATATCTGCAAGGAGAAGCATATCACAGAGCCTCGGAAATCCAGGCCTCAGTATCTGTGGGCTTGGGATGCTAGAAGCCATGAATCATGCAAAGGATTGCAAGCTCTTCTTGCACAAAGGCAAACATATCCTGAAAGTGGAGGTGAGCTTGTATACGCACACCCACACATAAGAGAGATAGAGATGACGACACGCACCCCAGCTCATAAGAGGAGGCAGACCAAAAGCCCAAATAATAATATTCATGCAATTAACAAACAACTGTTTTTCAAAAAGGGGAGGGAGAACAATCAGTTCAGTGTGAATATTTTTATATGGCAACTTTCAGAGATGTTGGATATTAGCTGTATGAAATTTTATACAACAGCAAATGGCAACTTCTGGGGAGACATGGGAGAATGGTTGAATTGTGTTACATGGAGACAAGGGTTTAGCCATTTTCCTTGGTTGTGATCCCAACTAAACACTCTTGACTTTTTCCATTGCTGAGTTAATTGAATGCAAACTACTTTTTGCACTTTGAGCTCAGTTTGCAGCAACTGAACTAAGCTGAGGACAAAGGAGGAACAGAAAGAAACTGGGACACTTAGAAATGGGATTGCAGAGGATTAATCTGAGCTGCTCCTGCCAAATCAGGTCAGTTGGAGGGCCTGAGAATTAATTTCTCCTCATCCTTGAAAGCTATACCCTGGGCAATGTGCATAGGAAGATTTCAATTTACCCCATATTTCAAAACCAATAAATTCCAGCTTATGTGAAGGTTTTTTAGACTACACCTTTCAGAATCCCACAGCCATCATAACTAGTGATATTGCAAACAGATGGCCTTATATTAGAGATCATGGTGGCTGAGGGATTCTGGGAGTTGAAGTCCAAGATATAGCTAGGACACTCAAGGCACATTCTTAGCAAAGCGTAACACTTGCTTACTCAAAGGCAGAGTGTTTGAGTCCATCCTTCCTATACTTACATTGTTAGGATGACATATGATAGCAGCTGATGGGACAGTCTTACTTTAAAATGCTTGATTTGTATCCTAATGTGAATATACTTCATTGTGGAAAAAGTCAGAATCCTTGTTTAATACATACAGAAGTTTCAGTTCTGACGTTTCCCAACTGAATGGTAGAAACGTATCAGAATTCGAAGTTAAAACACTCATGATTTGGTTATATACACCCTTTTTGAAAGTCAAATGAGGATATTCTCAAAATTCAGATTCCACATTGTTGCTAGATTTTGAATTTGCATGAGAGTGTGTTTCATCTTGTATCATGTTGACCTAACCTGAAACAGGTAATGTATTATTGTGCAATGAATATATACATGTGAAAGCGATATGTCTTATATGTGGGCCTGTCCATTACATGTGGAAACAGTAATATTTTGGCTCATTTACCTATTACTATGAGACAAGGAGCCCCCAGTTGTGCAATGGGTTAAACCCTTGTGCCAGCGGGACTGCTGACCAAAAGGTTGATGGTTCGAATCTGGGAAATGGGGTGAGCTCCCTCCTGTCAGCTCCAGCTTCTCATGTGGGGACATGAGAGAAGCCTCTACCTCAGGATGGTAAAACATCCGAGTGTCCTCTGGGCAACATCCTTGCAGATGGCCAATTCTCTCACACTAGAAGCGACTTGCAGTTTCTTAAGTCGCTCCTGACACGAAAGAAAAAGAAAAACCCTATGGGACAAGACTTGGAAGAACTGAATCCAGACACTGTCTCAACCAAGAATACCTTTTATACATTACCTGTTGACCTCAGTCCCTTATCTGTGAAATGGGAAGAACAGTGTTCTACCTGAGAAGGTGATCATTAGGGGGCGGGAAACACGCTCTGGCCCGGATCCAGTTAAAAAATTAGTCATGACGGCATCCCATGGTAGCCAAGACACAAACAAAATAGTCGCAACGAATCTAATTCCTCTTACTTTCAGTGGGATGGGCATATAATTTTAATTGGATTTTTTGTTTTCTTCTTTCAAAAAGAATCCAGGGCAGTAAAGATCTATGAAGCCTTTGGAAAGAGACAAGCGGTATATGAAACCTCGAAGTATTCAGAAGCATCTAAAGTACAGATAGCACCATTCAGTTCAAAGCAAAAAAAAACTTCAAACTATAAGATCAACAAACACACATAGCCTTAAAAATAAATATATATATATATTAAAGAATAACAACAAAAGAGAGTCAATTTAACAGCTCCCATACTTGCCTCATTGCCCACTAATTGGAAGTCAGGCCACATTGCAAAAAAACAAACAAACAAACAAAAAAACAGCACCAGCATTACATCTCACAGGATTTTCAGAGTGGCGCCAAATATGCATCTTAACATAGAGGCCCTTACAGACAGGCCCTATATCCCAGGATCTGATCCCAGGTTTTCTGTTTATCCCAGATTATCTGACAGATTATCTGGGAGCTCCCAGTGGCTTAAACCCTTGTGCCGGCAGGACTGGAGGGTCGGGGGTTCAAATCCAGGGAGGGCACAGATGAGCTCCCTCTGTCACCTCCAGCTCTCCATGCTGCGACATGAGAGAAGCCTCCCACAAGGATGGTAAAACATCAAACATCTGTGTGTCCCCTGGACCACATCCTTGCAGATGGCCAATTTTCTCACACCAGAAGCGACTTGCAGTTTCTCAAGTTGCTCCTGGCACGAAAAAACCTTGGCAGTGGGGACGCATATAATTCAGTTTAAAGCAGAAAACCTGGGATCAGATCCTGGGATATAGGGCCTGTCTGGAAGGGCCCAAAGTGAACAAAATGTTTCACTGAACATACATAGGGACAGCTAAATCTATCTGCTTTTGTTCACTCTACCCCATTTCCCAACCAAAGTACCCATCTCATTTAACCCAGCTGATCCCCTGTCTGATCTATTGATTGAATTGGGGGTTAGTTAGAAATGAGGGAGGTCTTGCTATATTCTTGCTTCTGGCATCCATCTTCCTTACAAGGTGATGTATATATATCACACACACACACACACATGTCATATGTGAGATATATGCGATATATACTCGTATATATATTCAAGAACTGCTGGTGCTTCTGAGTGTGTACCTATACGTGTAAGAGAACATATTCCTTTATTATCCAATGTTTTAAAATAGATATATTTTAAATATACGCACACAGAAATATGTATATATATGTTAGAAAGAAAGGAGGGGGGGGAACAAGAGGCTGTTTTGCCTGCGAGGCAATATTTCTGGAGCCAATCGGAATGTAGCATCCACCCTTCCCTACTCCCTAATTAAAGGGTTTAACCAAGCTGGCTAGGTTGGATTTCTTACACATTTTCCCTGGAGGAGGACAGCAGCAAGCAGGAGCAGCAGCAGCAGCAACTATGACTGGAGCAATGACTGAGTAAGCCGACTCAGAAAGAGGAGGAGAGGTGGAGAATTTTCTCCCTCCCCCCAAAATCAGCACACAACTCTTTGCAACCTTGCACACTTTTTCTTTGGCTTCCCTTTATCCAAAGTTTGGGACCTTCCCCTGGCGGGGCCTTTCAGCTTCTCATCATGAGCAGCTCCTTCGAGAAGAAGATCACCAGCATCTTGACAGATATCTCCAGCAACCTCAGTTGCCATGCGGCCACCAAGGATTCCCCCACCCTCCCCGAGTCGTCCATCACGGATCTGGGTTACTACAGCACCCCGCACAACCAGCACGAATATTACCCCAGCCAAGCGTACACGCAGCCCATTAATCACTATACCTACCACCCCCAATTTAACCTCAATGGAATTGGGGGTGCTGGGACCTACTCCCCTAAATCTGATTACCCTTACAGCACCTCGTACAGGCAATATGGATCTTTCCGGGACCAACAATTGCCCAGTCAAGAAACAGGTAAGGTTTTCTTTTTCTTCCCCTTCTTTCTTAACAGCCTAGAAATGAATCCAAGGGTTTGTATGGCCGAACATTTGGGAGAGAGATAATAGTTCTGAAATGTTTTGGGACTGATAGTGTTGTTTTTTCAAAGGGCCCACAAAGCTTCTGTTATGTAGACGGTCTTTTCCCTTCTATTCACTTGAAGATTAATTTTTATTTTTACTTATTTATTATTACTTTTTGTCGCCAAAGAAAAGCATATCTTGTCTACCCAGAAAGTTGTGAAAAACGACACCATATCCACATTTGCACTAGCATTGGACAGTCCAATGTACAAGGCCAGATGTGACCCTGTGTGTACCCTCCATCTCACAGTTCACCCACTCCTTTCACATGCCTTTAGGGGCTTTGCTATTGTTCTGTGTTTGGGCACCACTTGAACATGTCACCTGCCTCATCAAAGTGCTTAATCCCTCGGTATAAATGAATCGAAAGTGGATTTCTAGTTTTGCGACTTTGAAAAATACACGCACAATCCCCAACTGAGGCACAAATGTAGCAGGGTCTTGTGCTTTCATTCTCCTTCCAACTTATGAAAAAAAGGAAAGCAAAGAGATGGAATGGCTCCTTCCTTATTCTTTTGTGGATTTCACAGGTTAAGGAGATTTCTGCAACTTTTAGGACCAGGTTGAGGACACAATTTTCCAAGTAAAATCGTAAAAGCTGTAATTCTGTTTCCACATTACCTGAGAGTAAACCCTACTGAATTCAACAGGCTTGTTTTCGAAAAGAGAGAGATAGCATTTCAGTGCATACAGTCTTTAATGAGGAGGAAGGATGAGCTACATTTCTCAGTTCTGAAAGGAGGCTCAGAAAAGTTCGGGGAGTCGGCCTTTGTTTCTCAGGCCCCTTCTACACAGCCGAATAAAAACCCACAAAAAAACCCCTTTGAACTGGATTATATGGCAGTGTGGACTCAGATAGCCCAGTTCAAAGCAGATATTGTGGGATTTTCTGCCTTGATATTCAGGGTTATATGGCTGTGTGGAAGGGCCCTCAGTTAATTTCTTCCATCAACTTTGGAGACCAATGGTTCAGTAGATCCCAGCTCCAAAGCATCTACATTGCTCTATTTTTTAAAAACTGAGGTATTTTCTGAGTTTAGATGGATGGCTTGTTTTTTATATAAAAGAGTAAAAGGTTTTTTTTACAATTTGGCAAAAGTTCTTTACTGTTTGCTCAACAGAATTGGATTCCCTTCCTTGCTTGGATAAAGTAGTTTGGCAGACTTTGCTTTCAAGGCAAAAAATATACTTGCCTTTCTCCGCTCCAAATGCCCACAGATTTATTCTGAGACCGTCTCTCATCAAAGTTACACATTTACTTCCTGTGAGAAGCTCTTTCTCTCCCACTCGTGCAAAAAATAGACACCCAAAATTTGCCGTTCCACTTCTTAAAATCTTGAAACACTCCACTATTTGAAAATGTCTATTTATGGGGGCACCCTGTTTGGTTTTTAATTTAATAAGGAGCAGAATAAAACTGAAATACTGAAAGATATAAAAGATTTCAAGATGATCAGTTCTTTGCGATGAAAGTCTGGAACGTACAGACAGTTGCATGCAGTAGGGAATTAACCGAAGACAATTGTGCTTGCTTACTAATAGATAATTTGCATTTGAGGGTATAAAGGTGAGAAATGATTCAATCTCCAAGCAAACCTAGGCATGCCTGTTTGGAAAGCCGAGAGACCAGAGATGCTGGCAGGGCATTTGAGGCCTCAAATTCACGCCCTCACTTTCCACAAATATTCCAGGAAGGGAACATGGGGGCTGTGTGGTTCCGACTGTCCCCACGTAACCGGACAATGCTTCCTGCCAAAGAGAAAAAGAAAATACATCAGAGAAATGATGGACACTTTTTAAAAAGTCACGCTTACTCAAAATGCAGAGCGTCAGATCTGTGATACAAACGAACATAACCGGCTAAGCTAGACAACCTGGGGCTTGTTAGTGTTTAAAAGATCAAGTTTGAAAAATAAATAAATAGAAAATAGTGTGTGTGTTTGCAAAATGGAAATCCAAATACATTAGAAATCAGTAGAGGAAAGTAGAAATCTGAATCATATTGGTTTACAAAGCTGATATTCTGTCTCTTCTTTTGACAAAGTTACATACCTTGTGCCTTGCAGGAAACCATGATTTTGGTACCATTTGCTAGGTCCGTAACCAATTTACATCTCACTATTTATTGAGGTACAGACTCTATGGGGGGCAATTAATTGATCAGACCAAATCATAAACAAGAGTAAGTTAATGGGTTTACTTCTGAGTAGCCATTTTTAGGATTACATCTTTCATCCATGATATACTCCGGACACCTCTCTTTCAATCCTCGATTCAACCTCTCCCTACAGATCTGATCATAAACAATTGATATTATTTATTTACAAAATTGTTTCCATCCCTTGCTGTCATTTATTTGCAGTATTCATTAAAATGTGTCTATTCCATCGTGTGTCAAAAGATTTCAAGGCAGCATTAGTTTTATTTTGCTGAGAATTGAGTGAGAGTCAGAAGTCATGGCACATAGAAACGCCAAGAAAAAAAAAGAAAGCATTTGCGATCTAATAAAAACAGTGTTGTGTGGCTATGGGAGAACAAAACTGGGAATTTTGTCCCTCCAACAAATTTCTGAATTTTTTGAAATTTCAGAGAACGAGACATTGAAAATCATTTTGTTGTAGAACTCATATTTGCTATGTTCATACTCCCTACATTACTTTGTCTGTCTCTGTTCTTTGAATGCCTAAATTACATGTTTAAATGCTCAGTTGTAATTTTAACTTACTACAATGCTAGAACTTTGGGTGAAATTGGATGGTGGGTACCAGTGGCCTCATTTCACCTCCCTCCCTATGGCTACACTTCACATTTTTTTATTGTTTATTTTTCGATACAGATACTTTTGCTTTTCAAAAAAAGAAGGTGATGACACCAAATATCTGTTTCTTGTCCTAGGTTGGTTTGATAATATGTCGATCTCAATTGTCAGACATCTGTATTGAATTGCCTACATGAAGTGCAAATTTTCATGCTTCAGGAAAAATATAAAAGTGAACTGAAATTGAAGGTCATAGTTATGGTAAAGTTAGGGTACATCGCCATCCTCAAATGAAAAGTCCTTTTTATAGTTCTGTGTCAACATTTGGGAATTTTCTATTTGATTGCTGTTTGTATCACATTTTCATTCATTCTCATCTCCAGCAGACGAGGTTTTAGACTATGGGCCCATCCACACAACCATATCACCCGGAATATCAAGGCATAAAATCCCGCAATATCTGTTTTGAACTGGGTTACCTGCGTCCACACTGCCATATATTCCAGTTCAAAGCAGAAAATGTGGGATTTTATTCAGCTGTGTGGAAGGGGCCAAAGTTTTCCTCTGTGCATGCAATATAATGTGACCATCTGAAGATTGTATATGAAAACAAGAATGCATTTTTTTCTCCAGTCATTTCAACAGTTTTGGTTTGGTTTTTGACTCTCATGGCATCTCTTTATTCCTTTTCTCTCCTCTCTGGTTTACTCCTTTTGCCCACTCTTTCCCCTTCCCTGGCTCTGCAGTTTCAGTGAAGGAAGAACCGGAGCCAGAAGTGCGGATGGTCAACGGAAAACCCAAAAAGATCCGAAAGCCGCGCACCATTTATTCCAGTTACCAGTTGGCTGCCTTGCAAAGGAGATTCCAGAAGGCACAATACCTGGCACTGCCAGAGAGGGCAGAATTGGCCGCACAACTCGGACTGACCCAGACTCAGGTACGACTCCAGCAACAAAGCAGAGAATGCACATTTCTGTTTAGCTTTTCTGTCTCTGTTTCGGGAAACAAAATCTCAGGGAGAGGCAGCATTGAGTGAGTCTGCAGACAGGATTTTTTCCCCCTTCTGAGGGGGGATGACTAGCAGGACTTTTACAAAAGAGGAAACACAAAATTGATGAAATAATAATAGGTGTTTAAGGTACTTTTGTTCCATCTTGCGGCAGTCCTTTCATTTTGATTCCATGATTACCTTTTGGTTTTCCAGTCTGCTCAAATATACAAAAATAGCTTCTCTCAACTGTCTTGGGGAATGTTTTTATTTTCTAGGGGAAACTAAGGCTGCATCTTAGTTTTAGAATTTATGCACTTTAACTGCAGTAGCTCAATGCTATGTAATCCTGAGATTTGTAGTTTATTGAGGCACTAGAACGATTTGGCAGCAAAGGCTGAAGACCTTGTGAAACAGCAATGGTTCCATAGCATTGAGTCATGGCAGTTCAAGTCATGTCAAACTGAATTAATTCTACAGTGTAGTTGTATCCAGAATTACCTGTACTTAGTATTCTATACTTCTCCTTTCATCATGTGATTTTGTGTGAAGTTTCTCCCCCATCTTCTGCCTTAGCCTTTCCTCTGCTTATTCACTCTCCGGTCCCCAGCTCTTCCAATCTCTACCCGTGCAGGAAATTTCATTTCGGTATTTATTTAATCCCCACCAAACCAGTTTTTCATCTCTCTTGCTTTTGAAGATGCATGGATTTTTGATGTTCCAGATGAGGCCCTTTCAATTTTAGGAGTTAGCAGCAAGGATTTTGGCTTGCATTATGTGACATTACAGCAGTGGATTGAGATGAAAAGGATTAATGAGAAGTGATGGAGGATTAGAAATGCCACCCTACAAGAGAAGTGCAAGAATGTGTATTATGATAGCAGTGATCCTGCAGAAAGCACATGTAATTGTACACAGAAATGATACTGATAGAGCTACAGGGAGCAATCTGGGATACACACTGATTAGTATTCGTTCATTCATTTTATTTCAGTTGATTCCTACCCTACCCTACAAGGCAGCTCTCAGCAGTTGTAACACAAGATAATGCTAAAAATCTAATAATACTGTCCAAAAGTTTAATGAGTTCTAGTATTGAAGCAGCATTAAAATTTAAAATATGTAAAGTCATTTGAAATGTAAAAATACAGATAAAAATGCAGTATGCATGCCTTATTTAAAAAGTGTACATGCCCTATTAAAAAGACTCCCTTAACTAATTAATCATTGAATGCTTGTTTGAATAAACAAGTCTTTGCCTGCCAGGAAAATGGGAGCAGAGAGGGGACCAGTTTAGCATCTTGTGGAGGAGACTTCCACAACATGGGAGCAGCCACCAAGAACGCTCATTATTATTGGCATTATTATTCACCCAAAATGTTTGTACTTGTGGTGAGACCACAACACGGGCCTTTATTTAGGGTCTTAAGATTCTGGTAGGAAGAAAAATGATGTATAAATTGAACATTACTCCAGCAGGTGCTTATATACAATATAGCAGTGAGTTTGGACCTGATGGCAACCAATGATGCCATTTCAAAAAGAGGGTTATATGTTTCCCATAACGACCACAGGATTTTGGACACCTGATGTTTCTAAACAGTTTCTAGAGGTAGCCGCATATGGAGCATGTTATGATAGTCCAAAAGTGGAGGCTGCGTCCCTTTTCCCTGCCATTTGCCAACTCATAACTGGCAGAGGACCAAAGATCCAGAATGGTATGCTGACTGCCCAGAGAGTTGGAGGGGAATTGTTACAGGAAGCGTGTGGGTGGAGCGATGCATCTTATGTGTTTTGGCAACTCTTTCTTTCTTCTAAAGTTAAATGAACAGGAGCTCAAGCTTGAGGGACATGGTGATTGTGAGGAGGAAACTTCTAGAGGGAGTCAGTGGGTGGGTATTGTTCATCTCTAGAGCAAAGATAGAGACCTTCTCACTTTCCTGATATTGTTGAACATAATCTCCCATTTGCCCTAGTAGTGAGAACAGACAGGAATCGCAGTAGAACATCTAAGCTACACATTCTCCACCTATTCAGTGGTTCCCAACCTTTGGTCCTCCAGGTGTTTTGGACTTCAGCTCCCATAATTCTTAACAATTGTTAAGCTGGCTGGGATTTCTGGGAGCTGACGTCCAAAACACTGGAGGACCAAAAGTTGTGAACCACTGTCTAAATCTGTGGTTCTCAACCTGTGGGTCCCCAGTTGTTTTGGCCTATAACTTCCAGAAATCCCAGCCAGTTCACCAGGATTTATGGGAGTTGAAGGCCAAAACATCTGGGGACCTACAGGTTGAGAACCACTGGTCTAGATGAATGCGAGTGAGAAATAAATTGTGGTGATGTGAGAACTAGTTGAGTTTGGTTTTTTTTCCCTGAAGAACAGATGATGTCAAACCACAGAAGTGTATTATCCAAGATGTTCATCCTTTGCATCTTGCTTTTTTAGGCAAAAAAAGTTTCTGTTCTTTTTTCTCAGCTACACAACAGTTTCCTATGGTAGTTTATTGTTGCTAGCAGTGTAGAATGCAGAGCCAATACTGAGAGAGACATAGAGAGTAGAGTTTGGATTAATTATGTTTTTTGACGAAGGCTTCCAAAATTATCCTGATAACATGATCAGTGACTTTTTCATACCCTCCTGGGAGACATTTAATACATCTTTCTAAAAAAATAGATAGGTCTCTAAATGTAATTTTTTTAGGACTTGAGTTGTATTGTTTAAAATATTGTGGTAATTTTTATAATGATAGTCTGGCTGGAAGATTTCAAAGTTGTCATCCAAAACCTATTTTTTCAAAGTCCTTTTATCTGGATGTATTTTGCTAGAATCCCCCCCAAAAAACCCAACTAACAGTATAGATGTACATTTTGAAGCTTAGGCCCTCGTTTTGCCAATCATGCAAGGAAAATCCCAAGCTGCAGGTGACTGTGTTTAACTATAAAAAGTTGGGAGCTGTCATCTCCACAAAAGTAAGTCTTTGTAAAGCTAAGGAATCTTGACAGTTCTACAACTGTTGTGATGTACACAGTCACTTCTAGTTGATGGCAGGTAATCTCAGAGAAGTCTGGATGATGAATAATGTTATAGTGCCTACCTATCAAAATGTTCCCAGGTTTCCTATTTGTAAATTTTGTTCCACTATATTTTGTCGTTGTGTGCCTTCTAATCATTTCCAACTTTTGGCACTTCTAAGGAGATCCTATCACAGGGTTTTCTGGAGTTGAATGTGCGACTTGTCTAAGTTCACCCAGTGTGTTTTCATGGCTAAGTGGGGAATCAAACCCTAGTCTCCAGTCACAGTCTATCTCTAAAACCACTACACCAATTGGCTCAATCAAGTTCAACTGAACTCATTATCCCCTTATCACAGGTGTCCTGTCCTGGTTATCCCAGATTTTCTCAATTTTACCTCACTTATTTTAGGTGGTACAGAGAATGGGGATAATTTTGTTCACTTTGTTGATGAAAGGTGGGATTAGGTACTCCTAGCTGGCCTTCCAATCCTTCTACTGATCTAAAGGACTCATGCTAGATTCATAATATCCCATGTGAAATAAAATATTTTCTGTAGACCAGAAAATGACCTAGCCAGATTATGTTCCACCAAAAGATAGTGTAGATGGGAAATGCTTGAAACCTCATTTTGGAAACCTTTTCCTATCCGGAACACATTTGCTTATTCAAAAAGCTTGTTGATAATTTCAGTGAAGCCTAGCAGCGTGATCATTTGTATGTTTGTTCAGAAGAAATTTTCACTGGTTTTCACTCTTACTCAGCCCTCTTGATATCAACAGTGGGCCTAGTCCAAATGTCATCAAGTCTGGATCCAACCAACTGTACACAATGAGTCTTATTTCCAAATAACTTCTCTCCTAGCCCTTAATTTCCAAGTTAAGGACTAGGAGAGAAGTTCAAGTAATCCCTTGATCGTTTTCTTTAGGAAAGATAGAGAAATGGAAGGGAGTTGGACTGGATGGCCCATGTGGTCCCTTCCAACTCTATGATTCTATGATTCTATGAAAATTCTTAATCTTTTATATAATTTTGGAGGGACTCTGTCATCTTCCAGATGTTTTGGACTCCAATTCCTATCCACTCCATCAAGCATGGCTAAAGATCTGGCAAGATGGAAATGATACATGGATGCTCATAGGATCTTCATCCCTACTTGAACTGGATTGGGATATGGGTAGTACTTGGTCATAGACTTGCTTATAGAAGTTTCCATTCTTCCCTATATATTTTCCGGAACAGAATATGGCAACCCCCTCATGTCAGTCAAAGGAAATTTTATCAGTTTCTCTTCCGCTTGGGGAAGATTCACCTCCCAAAGCAATTTGACCTGATTGTTTCTGACACAGCTTGAAGAAGCAGAAACAAGAAGACATTGCACCAGTATCGCAACATCCGCTGTAATGTTTACACCAACCTCTGATTGGAAGGCAGTGATACTTAGGCAGGAGAAAACAGGGTGATGTAAAGGAAAGTCAATCTCCCTTCCCCTTAGCCTCTTTCATTCACTCCAGTGTAGATACCATAATAAGTTTGAAACAGTTTCTTTCATCTTCTTTGCCAAATAAAACAGCCCTGGAAAAGCTTTCCTTTGCAACCCCAGACTACAATGCCAGAGTGCTTTCCTAAGTCCTTGAGCAACCCTATTGCTTTGCTCTCACAAACATTTGCAACTAGAGCCATCAAGCAGATGGGAATAATGACATCTTTTTAAAAAGTAAACATGAGTGTGACAGTTGACCACCATCCTTTAGGTCAGTGGTTCCCAACCTTTTTTTGACCAGGGACCACTTTGACCAGGGAACACTTTGACCATGGATCACTCTCCAACATTAGCACCAAAAGGGTTACAAATCCATTTTTGGTCAACTTTAGATTTGGTTTGGTTATTTGGGGTGCTGATTCAGAAAATTGTATTGGATAGACCACATAAGCT